TCGTTACTTATCATGTGTATCCTCCTTTTCCTGTCTTACGATGTTGAAGTTCGAGTGTCACCATCAAAACGATAGAGACTAGATTATGATCGGCAGAAACTTATTCGTAAAACCCCATTCTCAGAGATGTTACAAATGAAGTGAATGTCCACACCTAATGGCCTAAATCTGCAAGTAATGTCTTGACTACCAACAGAAAGTGTGATCTAATTAGGTTCCCACTTAAATATAACACGTACTTAATGAATCTCGGTAAACCCAGTCTTAGCCAGAGATGACAAAATTGATAAGTTAGGCGTAAAAATAACAGTTAATGCGACTAACCCCAATACAAATATGTATACTAGAATACGAATTACACTTGTTGTGTTAGGGCTTATGATGCTATCTGGCGGTTTCAGCTGAAGTACATGGAGTAGCGTTTCAACCTAGCACTTGGAAGTTGAGTTTTGAAGGCGATGAGTTCAAAGTCTTACATATTGCCACCCCTCAGGATGTTTTAAGATGAATGTGAACTTGATTTCACCATCATCAAGATCAGCATTACTGCGTAACGGTTCACGTTACCACACCTCATATCAGCACATCACGTAACAAGGCAATAAAATGGAAGATGAAGAAAGGGAAATCGGTCAAAGGAAGTAGAAGTAGTAAAAGAAAGAAAGGAAGAGTGAGATTAGGTATACCACCACTGACATCGATTCTGTCATATCACCTAGTCTACAACCACTGGTTTCTCTTGTCCCGCCGACCTCAGCCAGCTAATCTGTATCGCCCTACTTGACTTGAACGAACAGTCAGGGACTTCATGGATTGATGCCATGTTTTAGTCTGGCCGCCTGAGCCCTTTTTTAGCCTGAACCTACTTCGGCCAACATTGTACGACGAGGTAGACGGTGGCTACGCATACGTAACACACGTCCCAACCATTTCAGTCGATGAAGGTTCACAATCATATCAACTGTCTTACTTCTCATGTCTAAAACCCTGGATCTGATTTCTGCGTTACTCACCTGGTGACACCACGAAACACGACCTTTGATACGAAGGCAGAGGTGGTCAAATACCTAAAGCCCTTTCATGTCTTCTAACTTTAATGATCATGTTTCACAGACGTACAGTAGAACAGAGTGAACCTCAGCACAGTACACTCGACCTTCAATAGACAATTGGATATCGCATTCGTGCCACAGATGTCGAGTGTTGGCAAAAGTCAACCGAGCTTTTTACATCCGTGCAAAGATCTCGTTTACCACTGAGCCACTAGGGCTGGTCCGGCATCCCAGATAAGTGAAGTGTTCAACCACTTCACTCTCTACTATTAGTCAGGGTACCGTTGGAGATCAGTGCTAAAGCAACAATTTGTACTTGGGGGGCCGGAAAAGCGTCCCGAACATTCCCAAATTGCTACTCAAGATGTTCAGAAGACCTTGCATCTTATCAGTGCCTTCACCTAAAAGAACGATGTCATCTGCATTTTGTAGGCCTACCAAAAATCCTCCTGTTATCAAGTCAATCCCAGTGTGGTCAAACGACCAGAGGGAGACTTCCATAAGAACATCTATGACAAAATTGAATAGGAATGGAGAGAGTGGGCATGATGAAAGTAACTGAAATGGTTGGCAGTTCAAAAAAGTTTATAGATAGATGTCTACTTGCATAGCCCAGAAGACCGTTATGGCATAGAAACCTGCTGTGAAAATAGTGACTTAAACCAAGTAGAAACAACAAATGGAACAAAATACAATATGTTTTATCCAGGTGATAATCACTGGTTGCTAACACTCCAAAGCAATTTGAATATTTGGGCCAGTAAACATTTACGCACTTAAATCGAGTTGATAAGAGACTATTGGTTGGTAGATACAATCGGAAGTTATCCAACCCAGTGGGATTTAAGAGGATTAAAAGGGTTTCCGACTTACAGAAGAAATAGGTAAAGTAAGAGAGAACTGGAAAGTGAATGAAGACAATTTCTTTATCAATAGAAAACTAAAGTGAGCACGATGTAACGAGTTTACAACACTTTAAATGATGGTCAGAATCCAGACATCAGCCATAGGTGTTTGAGATGAACCGATTGGAAGTCAACAGTTTAGCTATGCAGATCCTGTGAAACAGAAAAGTGAGTGACCCCATGATGAGATTTCAGAGTGCTCTGAAGTATATGATTCAAAATTTTCATTTGTGTGATCGCTCATCGCCTATTAGTGGAAACCTGTGTGATGTGGATGTTGAGCAATCATTGGAACAAGCAGGTAGGATCAAAATTTCTGTATTTTACCACACTTCAACTAGACAATCCAAAGCACATGCATCTATACAGTAATCAATGTTTCATTATCACGGTATATTATTCTACTTTTTTAAGATTGGTAGTAGACAGATAAAATCAACGTAGAACCTAGCACACAAGTCCATCGGTTAAAGCCGCCAATTTCACAGCATCAAGCAAAGGACAAATGGATAGAAAAAGACTGAAATTGAAGTAAACAAAATGTACGAGGAAAGAGAATTAAAAAGGCGAAAGTTGGTGGGAAATATTACTGGGCTGTGGCTAACGGTAGAATTCAGGATGCACATTTCGTCCTATCTGGGACTCGTCAGCTGCACATACCTGCGTCCCAGTGAGCGGTGTTGTTCCCAGCAGGACTCGAACCTGTGACCGATCGCTCCAGACACCAGAGCGTTATCTACTACGCCAATCAGTTCGGTCCAACCAACGACGGGATAATACAAGTGACAACACTGAAACTACACCTGTCGCACAAGAAGTGGCTATCGTGACTCAGTGGCCCACTAGGTAACGCTCTGGCGTTTGAAGCGACCGGTCCCGGTCCTAGTGGGAACAACATTGCTCACTGAGAGGCAGGTACATCCAGATAATGAGTCTTAAACGGGATTAAACGCGCGTTCCAAATTTCCCTACCAGTCTCTAGACTGAAGTACAGGCAATGTCGAGGCATCCGCGCAGAAGGTCATATGCCAATAGAGACCGTTCAATCCGGTCCAATCAACGACGCAACAAACAAGTGACATTAGGTTAGTGGGGAAGTTCAAACGTTAGGGGGTGTGTGTGGGGGGGGGAGTTAGTACTGTTGCACCATTATACCCGATTTCCAGCTATCTTATCAAAAGTCTCAAACCACTGATTACTATTATCGCGCAAACTCCGGTCGGACCACATTTCCTGATCGCAACTCAAATTCCTAATATTATTATCTGATGTCGTGTTGTGTCATTTCTTTTTTGTCATCCGCATTGACATTTATTACTCTTGGAGAACATTCGCCTCTTTCTCCCTTAAGTAAGCAACTCTTCCGCTCTCTTTTATTCAACCCCACTAGACTTAATGTCTCAACCTGTGTTGTTGATCAATCAACGACTCCGCGCCAAATAAGTAAATGCTTTCTATTGATGACTGTAAGTAACTGATGAGCATAACCGTAATCAAAGTATTTCTCACACTCAGTTTCGTTCGTTGTTAATAGGTCTATGTGAGGTAAGAGTGGTTTAGAAGACTGGTGTTATCGATGCGGCGTGGTGATTGAAGGTGAAATCAAAATCTGGGTTGCCCAGCTTCCTCCGGGTTACCGACCCAGTGCTTTATCGACTGAGTTATGACACCCAGCTGCTGATCAAGTCCTACCTTAAATCGCCTAGGGCTTCACCCGACTGCCGTATGCATTCGCGATGTGCAAATATCCATTCATCGTAATACCACTGGTAGACCAGTCAGTTCTCGTCCCGGCCCAATTCTACTTATTGCTATTAGATCCCAAGTAAAAGGACCTGGCTCTATTTTACAGTCGTACAATACGAGCTAGAAAGTTAACTGAAGAATCAACCACTAGACAATGCACTTATTCCTCCTGCCTGTTACGCGTATTCATGTTCTGGAATTCCGGCTGAACATTAGTGTACTTTAAAGACGGTAAAGAAAAGAGTGAATACACTCTGTTTTTCGAAGTTTTCATTATTCGTTCAACCTCTTGTAGATATTTTAACATGACAGAATGCAGTTAGGATTAGGACACTTAATGTGTGCACAGTACAATGATGCATAAAAAGTGGCAGTTCAGTAAAAACGTACACTTCAGTGCGTTACATTGTAAGTCAGACAGATTCTAAGACGGTTGCTTTAGCATGCAACCTTGCTGTTAGCTCAACCGAACAGAAACGTAGATACGGTCCAATGAATGACTAAGAAACTAGTCACAGGCAGTAGAAAAAGGCACTCCGATAACATATCGGATTATTGTTATTTACAATCACTTAGAGAACCAAAAATAAAGAGCATTTTGATCACTATATTATCTTTTACAAGTAGGCAACAATTTACATCTTCAATATTACAAACAAACAGAACATTTTGTAGTTTTCATATTCATATCATTTTACACATAAATGTAATCGTGTTTGATGCACATACAACGCACACACACACACACACTTCACACCTAATTCTTGTCACAGGCAAGACTATTCCTTGAAAAACATAGTGCTAGTGACCTTAGGGAATAGACGTCACAGGAAAATGTAATGAAGGGAAGATAATAACGCAAGTGAGTAAACAGTGAAACTAACTGCAGAAGAAATAAACTAGTTATTGCATGTGTGTGTGTGTGTACATATATATCAGGACTAAAGCCCACTTTACTGTGCTGAAAACATGAAAAACAAGCTATATACGTATACATGTGTAGATACACACAAACAAACAAAGAGGTTAGACATGTTTCACGCGGAGGAATAATCGCATTATGATAATAAACACAACCAAACAAACTTATTAAAGGACAGTGAATGTGACAGATACAAAATATGCAAAGAAAACCTTAACACGATTTGTGAGCAGGGATAATCTACCAGTCATTCAACATATAACCATCATCATCATCATGCAGTAACACCAATCGGAGAAGCCGTGTAGAACGCAGAGAAGCGTGGTAAGGGGAGGGGGAATGTAGAAAATTTGGTGATGTGGCCTCTTTGATTATTCACTCTCTTTTGTACAGACAAACACAGACGTTCAAAGCTAAATCGAAGAGGGAGAGAGTATGCAAACAAAACGAACAAAATTAATTATTTCATTGAGAATTCAACAACAATCGCACTTTTTATTTATTGTAATGGTATTCACACGACATCCGTGCAAAATGAGAGGTGTGGAACCCCTTATGTTCATTGTTTCTGCACTATATACCTTGAAGTGAAATTTGGCGATCGACGTAATGTGCCATGTAGTACTTACCTTTCAAAATGTGATAAATTATAACTGAACCTCGTTAGTATTTGTTCCCCGTGTAAAACGTAAGTTGGCCATCAATTTAAGTCAACAAGATCGAAATGCGACCGCGTCTTAATTTGCATTTGCTGTCAATATTCAAGCAAGTCAATGTGTGTATTACACATTACTCATAAGCATGGCATTAGATTTGTTTTCGTTAATTAACACAGACAGGCACTATCACAAAGAGCGGGAAAACAAGTGTTGCTCGCATGTCAAAAAACACAAACCTGCATTCGATCTGTGGGCTACATTTTTAATCTGTATAGGAATGCAAGCGAAAATTACTGAGTTTATTGATTACTTCGACTTTATCCTGTATGATAAGCAGGATAACTAGGGAAATTAACATTTCTCAGCAACAATTTTTTCCTACCAAGATTCACACTTTGATGTTCAGTTAGGGAGAATGAATACAAAGAAGTTTAGGAGATATACATTTATTCAACTAAAAATATACAATACAGAATGTGTATTGGTAAAAATGACAAATAGAAAACTTTACGTTAGTTGTCATTGATTAACCTAGCAAATACTAATAAAACGACAATTCTTTATTCACAACAATCAGGAATTCACCTTCACATTTATGTTGTACCATGACTATAAATAAAGATGCATTAGTAACAGGTGTCACATCATATATATTTGTAAAGTACCCACTTCCCATTTATAGGGACCTAGTTGTTACAAAACATGACAAAAAATGGAAATCAAAACGATTAAAGTTACTGACTGTAACAAAAGAACACTGATCAGCTAGTTGTTTTTAAATGCATAAGTTGTGGTATAGAAGTGAAGATATAAAGGCTCAGACACATGTGACATCCTGCAAATGCAGTCAAAACGGTATCCGTATACGAGCAGGTATTACTAAGCAACTTTGCAAGTAACAACATTTCACATCAGCATATTGAGGTAAAAGGAGAGACGGGAAAGAAATAGTGTAAATGGTACGCTTCAAAACAGCCACGAAACGAAAACCGAAAGTAAAGAGAAGATAGAGGAAGGTGAAATAGCAATTAGGGTGAAGACAAGACGTGGGTGCATATGCGATAAGACCAAGGATCCCGAGACATCAACATATGTTCTTTAGCCATACGAATTCTAAAGTAGAAGTCAACAATTATTTACACGGTTAAAACCGACAGTCATAGACTTGACGGGTTAGGATGACGCTTAAGTCTGATAACCTGCAAGCCCAGTCAGACTACGTCTTGTTGGTGTGCAGTATTGCCCAGTCCTATGTTGACGACGAGGAGGAATGAAGTTTCGACACCTTGAACCGCCGACAATGATCACAGTGTGAGGTGTAGGAAATTGTAAGAGATCTAATGTTGGTATCAGGGAGTGAAGGTTGGTAAGGAGACAAAAGTAAGAAAGGTGCATCATGTCCGACTACGCTTTGCATACTGCTGGATGTGCGTAGGTGGTCGGTACTGCTCACTTCCAGTACCGTGTAAGTTTCTTCAAAGTATGTGAAACACAAAAAGGAATGTCTTTGCGTGGCCGCAGAGTACACAGAACATCTGCTTGAAGCCAGTTAAATATCCTTCTGTAGATTGTTGGCCTAAGATTTGAATGTTCTAAGGAAAGAACAAACAAACAAACAAACAAACGGAGCGCAATCGGCTACCTTTTGCACATTCATGCAGCAGGCAATGAGCCACACCGATTGTGTGACGGCTAGTGATACTAATTGATTGCCCAAACCTCGGTAGACGGAGTGGAGCTCAAACCCATGACCCAATGGTTGGAAAGTCATCTCACACCACTGAGCCACAGCTCCACGGTCGTTCTGACACCAGATAGGAGAACCCTGTGCCGACGGCATCTAAAGACTGGACAAAGGTAAGTGTGCTATTTTTGAAGCTGGGCCTTCGAAACACTCAATCTTCGCAAACAGAAGGCAGAATCCTCGTGTCACCGCTGTTTATTCGTGGAAAACACTTAAATACCTCCACGTGCTCGTTCAGCCAGCAGTTTGACTTTGAACTCAGACACCCACAATAGCGAAGTAAATTACTCTTCATCAGTAACTGCTTTGCGTCTCATCACAGAACAACACAAGCTCGTCGTATAATACACGTACACAAATCACCTGACATCCCATCATAAGTTATAACATGCCCATGGGGAGTCCAATGTAATGACATACTTACCAGGAACCCCTCTTCACTCAGAGATCATTACCATAAGACCTCTCAACCCACAGGATAAAACACTCTCTTCAGGCCAGGAAATACAGTCAATGTGAGACGACAGTGAGTGTCTGTGTTCGGAAACCTGGAGGAGGGTTGTTATCTGTCGATTGATATACCAACTACCGAGTGTGAAACCGCGCCCGCTTTCTCAGGTTTGCTTTTTCCCAAGCTCCACTCACAAGACCAATGACCATACAGCTGAAGATCTTAGGCACTGTAGCCGTAAGGTTGGTTCTCCAGGAGTCACCATTAAGCGATACCTCTCCTTTCCCAAAGACTACGACAATCGGGGATTTCGACTAGTCAGAGGAAATCAAACCTGACTCCTATTTGCTAGTTGACACTCCAGTTAACCTGACCACTAATCCACGATCACCGTCACAAATTACCTCTGGTACTAGTCTGTCTCAGTCGGTTGCCCTTCCTCGTTTCAGATTACTTTCAACTTTGGTAACGCTTGGAGGTCCTGTCTCAATATACTGTTAAGGATTCCACTGCACAGAGGATAACGCGAAAACACCGGAAGGCCAGTTGGACTGTTCCTCGAAGCGTTCCACCCATCGTTCCAGTTGTATCACCTGTAGGCAAACTGCCGATCCATCCTTCTCTGCTGTAATCTCACTAATTACTGACCAGTTCTCCTCCTTTGGTCCGTCTAAATAACTGTATTCGGTTATCTACCATCACACTACCTTTTGCATCTAATTAACCTTCGCTGCTCACCACTGCTCACGATCATAGCGTCAACTTCTTGGCTGTTGATATTTCAGTTGCTTCCTTTTTCTCGTTGTGCTTGGAACCTAGAGGAATGGGTTCACGCGCACCCATTAATTCAGAAGGAGCAGTTGAGATCCACTGACCCATCCTTTCCATACACTTTCTGAGAGTCATCGTCGGTCTGTAAGGCTGTTTGTAAAGTAGATTTGAGATGACGCCATACTTCTTCAGGTTGAGTGACTTTGTCCTGTCCTCATAACTGTATAGCTAGTTGGTCTCTAAAACAGGGTTAGTACTCTCATCCTCCAGCTGCGTTAGCAATGATCTTGCTGCATTAGTTTCTTTGCGTACATTTAACCTCAGACATATGCATGCTCGCTCAAAGAAACACGTGATTACTTTTTAAACCCATGCTCCAGAAGAAGCAACAATCTTTTGCTGATAGCTGATAGGAATATGGTCTCTTTGTATCCATGATTGACTTGTGGTCGGTGAATACCAAGAAACATTTTTACGTTATTGTTTGTAATGTCTTGCCGTTGATGGGACAGAGTTTAGTTCATGTTTCGGTGAGAACAGCATTCACTGGAAGGCATGTTCATCCAGCAGACGAGTCCCAAATAGGATGAAACGCGTATCTAGGATCTCACTACTAGCCACCATCCATTAGTACTATGAGGGCCAATTTATTTGTGAAGTTCGTCACAGTCAAAAACAAATTGTTGTCTGAACACATTCTTAACAGGCGATCTCCACTATTCGTTTGCTCGGCTGGGTTGCCAAAGTACCAAGTTTTCCGTGTAACTCATCCTTCACTTCATCCGAACTACAACTAGTGGGTGCATAAACACAGATCACAAAGACAACGGTGAGTTTCACTACTGATTTTAGTCCTTGCTGCACCGTTCAGTTGAACAATCCACTGGCAACTGTCAACTCGGATTCCATGGAGAAAAGTACGACGCGCCTTACCACTTAATGCTAAACGCACACCTGGAAGACCACAAGGACGAGCCATCAAATCTCCAGGAATTCAGAGTGGACTTCGTAGATTCATTATATTGGTCGAATAACGTGGAGTGAGTGATCGCATTTGGGTCCAGTGTGCATGTTTCACAAGTACAGAACACGTCCATGGAGTGAGGTGGCAGTTTTCGCCACCGCAGACTGCTAGCCGATTTGACGGAGGATGTGGACATTGTGAACTTTGGAATGTAGTCTTGAGCGTGGATTTAGAGGACCAAGGATGCTGTTCTGTGAACTGAAATTGTTATCAAGGTGTCCAGAAGCTTAATGAAGTAGAGACGATGTAGGAATATTGACCTAGAGATGTGGGAAATAGTTAGGAGGTAATAGTATTGAGTATTCGTAGAGCCTAGGGGATATTTATTTAGGGTTCGTTACACATAGCATTTGCGGAATTTTGAGACTTAAGTTCGTTTGACTCGACTCTAACCAAAAGCTCATGTTACCGGCACCGGAGGACCGTAAGATAGGTGGAAGTGTTTTATATTTGGGACTGATGTTTTCTATCACTCTAAGGTACGCCTTGCCACTTGCGGGAAACAAATTACTGCTGTCACCACCTGCGTTCTGACCCTATCATAGCCTGGTATCATACACTACGACAATAGTCACATTTTGTTTTACCAAGAGATCACCCTGTAATAAGTCATCCTTGGAAAGGATCAGAGGGGGTTACTAATCTCTCTGGAGTACCTGTTTGGACTTCGACCACGTGTTGTTGGCGTCCAACTGGTCGCAAGAAACAGGCGGCAGTGAAGTCTGTGAGTTTTCGATTGGAAGATGAGAGCATCAAGTCCATATTTGTTGAGATGGTTCAGCATTTGTCCGGAAACGACAGAAATTCTGATCCTGAGGAAACAGCGTGACATTCTTTCTGCTGTAGAAACAGCGGCGAAGACAGTTGGTAACCTACACTCGGAAATTAGTAAATGTCAATGTATTCCAACAACGCCATCCGCACTCACTAATATGGAAAGACTCATTCCAGTATAATTGTGCCACAATGAGGATTACAAGCAGCTCAAACGTAAGATGACTAGGCAGCTTCGCACTGATAGCCAGGAGTGGTGAGTGACTAAAGCGAGAAAGATGGAAATGGCATCAACACTAAGTATAACTCAGCAACTGCTCAGAGTTGTTAAGGGTACTGGCAGGAAGAGGCTGATAGTAAGTGAAGCTGTCACCAATAACGACAAGGATTCTAGACCGTTAGGAGGAACACTGAAGAATAGTCTAAGTGACCTACAGTAAAATTCACCTGCCTAGCATTCAGTTCGAACATTAATAGAACATAGATGTCGGTCTTTCAATCCCCTCGATGTCGCAGGACCTGACGGTTTGTCGCCTGTTACGTTTAAGATGGAGGTAGAAAATTACCGAGTAGAGCGATGGTGTAGTTTAAGAACAGCAAACTTGAAGGAACCAGGTAGGTTTTTAACGTGGACAAGTGTGCATAAAGCAGACCTTCGCCAGGATATGGCTGACACATCAGATTTATTGATCTTAAGGCGGCATTCGACGGTGCTGACCAACAGGCATTCTCGAAGTATCTGCTTGAGAAGGGAGTAACGAGCAGGTATGTAGAGTTAGTCAAAGCTCCCCACTCGAACTCAAGCAGTCATGTAAAGCACTATGGAGAGTTAACACCTAAACTGACGACAACCAGTGGTGTCTGCCGGAGGTGACCACTGTAAGTGTTCCTACTTAGCTTCACTGAAGACATATTTAATGAACACAGACGTAGGTACCTTTTACTTTACATTGACTCATCTACTACCTGGAGAGCGTCTGGTTGAATTGCAGTTCACAGACGACAGTGTTCTGCCACGTGAAGACGCTGACGAAATGCAGGCTTCCGAGTGGCTTGAGTAGAAATGAGTTTTGCTAATACGGGTTTTGGAACTCCCAGAAAATGATTCAGGACTAGTCCGGAGCTACTTCTAGTTCAAGAATGGGGAACGAAATGGCAGAATGAGTTGACCACTTCATTTAGAAAGTTGCATCAGCCAACGGGTTGGTTACTGATGAAATCCCAGCTCGGACATAGAAGGCTAGTTTGATATCCGTCAACTTGTGTGCTAACTGGTGCCAGTCAGATATCTGACCATTTGTCAAAGAACGAGTATGTTGCGCTGTAGTCGATCCTGTCCAATTATGCTGTTGACGTCGTCGCATAAAGTAGATATGGAGACTACAGATAATTGACCAGTTTTTTTCGTAGCACTGCTCATGCATGATGTGATTACCATGCGAATTGGCCAATTAGATTAACAATGCGATAGTGCTATGTACCGCATTTCTGTTGTATGCTGAGTTAACCGATAGGATGAACAGGATCCAGTTTTGGGGCTTCCTGGTGCTTATCAACAATGTTTGTCTGCAAATTCGGACCGCACACGAAACACCAGTTTTTTTCGTAATTCTAGATGCTCTATATTTACTCCTGTTAACATCAAACTTAGATACTCGGCTGTAACATATACCAAATGGAACTTACCATCAGTACACAGGCCGACAACCTGATCAATAGATCTGTCAGCCTTATGTCAAACCTCTGGCATAATCGTAATACCATTCAGTTTCACACTAGATAAGCGTGTTGCAGGTATCTAACGTTTGTTAGCTAAAAGTAATTAACCTTTGGGTCCACTATAAATAATGGTTTGTTACAGTCTGCCAAATTTCTGAAAATGGACAGTTAAATCACATAAATGCATAATCGTAAACACTAACATACCTACAACAGTTATATAGATTTAAATGGAATGCGAATAACTAGAAATAACTGGCGTTTAAATAAAAAATATACAGACATACCCTTTCTACATATTAATCCTATTTCCATTTGAGTTGTATTGTCTTTGATATGGCGTGAAACTATTTGAGATTGGTGAATGAGACGTCATAGAGTAGTTGGGCACGGAGTTCATGGAGTTGTACATACTATAGCTAAAATCTCGAGAATTTGGACTATTCATCATTGAAGGGTATGGCCAGGCTATAAACATAGAAAATAAGGTTTCATCATACTAAATACATACCCCATGGGTTGTGTGAGTTTACATATTGAGAATCAGAATATATCGTATGGTTCTGTCGACTTTGCTGAGGAGGCAGTTTGGGGACAGCCGAGCCAATAGAAACCGAAATTCCTTCTATAACCTGATCTTTGCCCAGTAAATCTGCTGCAACTTCAGGATCCTCAAATGATACGAAGGCGAAAGAACGAAATGGCTTGGGAATAAACACATCAATCACCTATCAAAATTAAACATGCGGATAGAGCTTACTGTTCCAAATTGTGAGAAATATTCTCTGAGCACGGTAGCTGTGATCGATTCAGTAATACCGCCAACATGAACTTTACGACAAACTTCCTGACGGTCACCCTCCGACTGAAGACGTCAGTAAAAACCATACATTTTACCTTAGAAATTGGGATTCTTACGTCACACCAACGGCCATCAATACTATGGCGTTCAGAAAGACACATAACTTGAGATTCGATGTCAGTGAAGCGAATAAACCCGTATCCTTTACTCAATTGAGATACGGGGTGACGTTTGATCTGAATAACAACATATGCGGAAGAAAAAATAGGTACCTGAACTGTCACAAGGTCGCCATATCGAGAAAAGTAGTCTCTAAGTACAGACTCATCAGTTTTCCAAGCCAAATTTAATACAATTAGATCCGTGCACTTTTTGTCGTCTAGCTTCTTGCATTTGGAGGTTGAAGAGTTCTGGTCTTCGTTGCCTTTTCTTTTATTGTCTGCAGATGTTTTTTAACACAGTTAATAAAGATTACTACCTTTCGGGAACGCGCACTGGTAAACGTGCACCCAACCATCTGATGGTGCATAAAGTTTCCCGTCGTTCAGTCGCACGCCTCTATAACAGCCTGATTCTGGGGCTAAATATTTCAGACCAGTTGACTTTGGAAAGATAGAGTTCAATGTTGTAAGTAGTACGGTTCCATCTTCTTCTATTGGAACTTCGATTGGAGTTTCATCTTCATCCTCACACACTCGTATGTAATCAACACCTGCCATTGTAACGCTAAAGACAAAGTGACCTCTGACTACGTCCAAGGTTTATAATTTATTTTTATGCTGTCGAACGAACAACTGCGAATTTGAACTCAAACTTGAAGTGGTTTAAACGATCCTAATGTTTGTTTGTGGATTAGAAGAAGCTTCCCTTTGAATGGCTTCAGAGCACTCGCTTTAAAAACAGGAAGTGAATATTTCCACGGCTTTGACTTTATTGCTTTCGTTGTGTAATCTGCATCAAAGACTTTCTTATATACCTTGACTTGAATTACTTGAGTCAGTGCTTGAAGTTTAATCATTTTTTGTGGCTTAAGGTTGGTCTTTGTGTTGTCACAACTTAAGTCCTTTTGTCGAAATTTTGATCGGATACTTCAGTTAGTACACGGTACTAATGAATAACACTTTAGCGATAATCACGTTTGCCGCCGTCCCAGCTGTGGGTTTCCGGTGGATGGAGGTATGCAGTGTGGTGCATTTGGATGTTGGTTCCACAAAGTTTGTACCGGATTGGCAGCAAAGTAGCTTCTCCTTGGTTACGTGATTTCTGCTGCGAGCCGTTGTCAGCCGTAATTCAGGAAGCTATTGAAAGGTTACTAGTCGAAAAACAGCTATGTGGAAATGAGAACTGTCATTCTAATGTGACATGAGATGATTACGCTGCGTTATAGTTAATTCATGTGACACAGGATCTCTCAATGGACTAATGGATGCTAGTGGTCCAATTGTTGAAATTACACCGGTTTCGAGGCGCTCTCGACGCAAGAGAAAACCGAGGGCAAATGGTACACCAACTATAATGCCAGAGGATTCACCAAAAGACTGCATCTCTGATGGCAGAGTTGACTCAATAGAAGTGGTCAACGAATCTACATAGAATTCCCCAAGAAAGCATTCGAAGAGATGGCCAAAGGTTATCACTGAAGCTACTAAGCTTATGGAACCTATTGAAGAGGTTTCGGAGGCCATCAACACACGACTCATATATTCCACTCCAGCGCCGAGTGTGGTCTTCCGGAATGTTGAGGAGTCATTAGACAAAGATTCTACGTCGCTGCTATGACCTGAAACTATTCGCGTCTGCCATCACAAGCATTTCACGTGAAAAGTCTAAAGGGGTACATACCTCCAAAGTAGTTATGCAAGGTAAGAAAACGGATGAGAGACCTGGTGAAATGGGAATTTTAAAAGTTGTTTTGGGCTACAGGGATGAAGTGGATATACTCATGATTAAACCGATCGAAACTACGGAATTCGGATATCTATACCCAACGTGACTGGCCCCTTGAGGGTGGCACAAAATGAAGAGACGCTGCCGCCGAACTTAAGGCTTGACAAACTGATAAGAAAAACTATCTTAAAATAGAAGGTTTTTGGACTGTGAGGTCTTGGAAGCGAATGCTTTCAAAGCTCGTATGGGTGGGTCATGGAGCTCTTCCAACACAGTGAGAGTAACCTACAAGGCTGTTCGCAGTATTAGAAGTAAAATGACAGACCTCGAGACTCTAATCAGTAAACCAGGTAGTGACATTGTGGCCCTTACTGAAACTTGGCTAATGGCGGGTTCAGATTTTACGCCACTCCTGACGGGGTGGTACTGTGTAAGAACAGATGAAGTTGCGGGTCGCGAAGGTGGTAGCATATTACTCCATGTCCGGCATGACATCCACATACGATTGGTCACGTCAGAAGCACATGAATGCTGGACCCGGCCATTTGCGAGCCGAAGTCAAAGCAAAGTATCTGTACAACCAAAGTCGTTTACCGTAGTACATCATGCCTTACAAATGACTTCGTGCTAACCCATATACGTAATTGGAGTAGAAGTAACAGATGCCTAATAGTTGGGGATCTGAATGCTCCACACATAAACTGGACGGAACTAACAGTCTCACCACCAGGTGGTTCCTTCGAAAATGATTCACTTTTGACGGTCTTAGAATCTGCTTTAGTTCAAAACATAACACATACAATACGTTACTATTTTGAACACAAGCCATCGTTATTGGATTTAGTTTTAACCCATTAATGTGAAGACATTCTGGATCTACGACACTTCCCTCCATTAGCTAACAACGACCATGTAGTACTAACTTTTGGTTTTCGGAGTAATGAGTTTGATCATGACACTGCCTCCTCTAGACCCAGTGTATGGCGCGCGGACATTTCAAGTTTAAGGGATTGCGCAGTCAGTAAGGATTGGACCATCGACAAGGACTCGTCCATTGAGAATGCACAAAATAGGTTTAGAACTCTATTTGAAGAGGTAACGACGCCATTTATTCCGTGTTTCACTCCACGACGATCCTCATATCGCCCTCCGTGGTTTAATAAAGACACTAAGCTACTGTTAAGGCGGAGGAAATGTTTATGGGACTTGTTTCTGACAACTGGACTGGAAACACTTAGGACTGAGTACTGTAAAGTCCGTAATCTCCGCAAGACTTTGATCACATGGTCTTGAATGCCCTACGAGGAGCAGCTTCTGAGGGATTGCCGAAATCGCCCCCAAAGACTGTTCTCATTCATCAGAAGGGGGACTAAAAGAAAATGTGGAATTCCCTCTCTGGCGACGGATGAAAAGTCCTGTAGTCTGGCGGAATCTAATCTGTCCGAGGCTGAATGTTTATCTGATTACTTTGGTGAGGTCTTCTCTGTAGATCATGACAATGAGGGGTGCTCACTAGTGGTGTCAACACCGTTTCTAACTAATGGATATTGTGTTCACAACAAAGGAAGGAGTTTTGCAGTTGCTCATTGATCTTAGAACAGATTTTAGAACAGATGATTCGTCATAAGGTACTTAAACATGTTGAACCAACCAGCCCCTTGACACCTTGACAACACGGTTTTCGTACTGGACACTCCTGTCCAACTAACCTCCTTGGTGCAAGAGAGGAATGGGTTGCAACCCGTGATTACAAGCTACCAATAAATGCCACGTTTATAGACTTCAGTAAGGCATTCGACAAAGTGTCACATGTGGAATTACCAGGAAGGCTCTCCTCCTTCGGGTTTGGTGCTTCATTGCAAGCTTGGATTAGGGGCTTTCTGCATGATAGAAGGCAAAGAGTAAGGGTGAATGGGATACTATCCAGGTGGAAACATGTGATGAGTGGAATTTCTCGAGGAACAACTCTGGGTCCACGACATCTCTTGTTGTATATCAACTAATTGCCAAATACGCTCAACCCTTCGGTACCGTTATCTGCCGATGATATAAAGATTTGAGGAGCCATACGCAGTGATGCAGATGGGTATGCACTTCAACCGGATTTATGTGAACTAGTAGGTTGGTCCAAACGTTGGTGCCTGGAAATCAACTCTAACTGAAGTGCAATTATGAACATTGGTCACAGCAACTGTTTCCAGTATTCCTTTGATGGTACACCACTACTCCCAGTCTCTGAACCAAAAGACTTGGGCGTCATCATTAGTCATGATTTGAAAACCTCGGCAAACTGTAATGCAGCTGCAGCAAAGGGCTTCCGCGTGTTATAGTCCTTCCACAGGGCTTCCAAATTTTCTGATCAGGACATATTCAGAATACTCTATTCTACTTACATTAGACCTCACTTGGAATGCTGCACTCACGCGGCTGGCCCACTTCCCAAAATGGATGCTGACGCACTCGAGTGTGTTCAAAGGGTAGGAACTAAGCTCGTGGCAGGCCTTTCGAATCTGTCCTATGAGGAAAGACTAGATTAGCTAAACTTATTCCCATTGTCTTAACCTCGCCTGGTTAACTAGTTTACTAATTACTAGCCGTTCCTAAGCCCACATAAAGAGGGAAGGTTGGGCATAGGGCTAGCAACCCTACCCCGTAAAACAAATCTAACCGCTAAAGAAACTTCAAAGCACAAACAAAATATAAAAAATAGTAACAAACTTATTCCCCGCTGGAATCGGAGAGGCGAAATGACGCCAGTTGGTGAAAGCCTTCGCGAAGCCAATTGGCCGATGTGTCTTCTCTCGATGAAAGCGAAAGTAAACGTGGGGACATGGAATGTCTGCACCATGTTTGAACCCAGCAAGGCAGCCCAGATTGCAAAGGAGATGAGAAGGTATCACATCGAAGTGCTTGGGATTTGCGAAAGCAGATCGACGTCAGTTGGCGATATCAAAATTCTGATGGGCGACATGAATGCCAAACTGGGGGGGGACAACACGGGAAGAGAACTAACCATGGGTCGAGAGGCGCTAGGTGAAATGAATGAGAATGGAGAATTGTTTGCAGAATTCTGCGCATTCAACGATTTGGTGATTGGAGGCAGTGTGTTCAGGCACAAAGATATCCACAAAGCCACATGGATTTCACCAGGCACCAGGACACACTAAAAATCAAATCGACTTCATCTCAGGAAAATGGAGACGCAGTCAGCTTACTTGACACAAGGTCAAGGAGAGGAGCAGATGTAGGTTCCGACCACTTACTGTCTAGTGGAAGGAACCTTCCAAATCAAGTTGAAAGCCTTCAAGGAAGCTGGTGATAGATCTCAATTCAAGTACAACACTCGGAAACTGAAGGATGAAACTACAAAGGAGATCTTCAAGGCAGCCATCAAGACAAAATGGGAGATATCGAGGAACATCCCTGAAGAAACCTGTGTGGAAGAACACTGGAAGTCTTTGAAAGAGATGCGGAAAGAAACCTGCACAACAGTATTAGGAAGGAAGAAGAAAGAAGACAAGGAATGGATCTCGACGGATACCTGGGAGTTGATAGAGGAGAGGAGGATGGTGAAGCAGAAGATAAACCAGTGCAAGGATGCTCAACGACAAGAGGAGCTGAGCACAATGTATAAAACACTGAACAAAGAAGTAAAGAAGAGTGCACGCAAAGACAAAAGACACTTCTACGAAACACTGGCAAGTGAAGCAGAACAGGCTGCAGGTAAGAGAGACCTGACAACATTGTATCAAATAACCAGGTTGCTATCAGGGAAGAGATCAACACACATGAAACCAATAAAAGATGATGACGGAAATTTAATTACGAAAGA